GAGTGGCCACTGCACTCCAGTCTGGGCGACGGAGTGAGACTCCAACTCAAAAAGAAAAAAGAAAATTAATGAACTATTTACTTCTGGAAGCTTCCATTTAATACTTTCAGATCACAGTTAACTGCAGGTAACTGAAACTGCAGAAAGCAAAACCAGTGGTTTAGACTATACAGTGGGTAAAGGAGGACCCACTGTGTAGTCTAATCATCTTTATAAACTGTTATACACTGACATACAAATTTTCTGACATTTAAAAAACCATGTAAATACACAGTCTAGTTTTCAGTATAGAAAAATGAAATATTTATTTTGATTCATCTGTACAGGAATGTCTATTCATTCATACTATATGTAAAATAAAGGCTTGTCTTAACCTAGACTATATGGTACCATGATATAGTTATAATGCTGATAAATCCCTGTTTCATAATGACAATCCTAAATTGACAATGACTAAAAATAAAGTAACCTATGTCAATCTGTCATAGGAGCGCAAAGACACATGGAGCGAGGTCTCCAGGATACTAGGTCAGGCCCGCTGCGGGTGTGGGGTCTGGTGTGTGATCCATGCCACATGAAAGATGCAAAGAATTGCACAGAAGTTAAAGTATATAGCTTTTTTTTTTTTGAGTTGGAGTCTCACTCTGTTGTCCAGACTGGAGTGCAGTGCCGCAGCCTTGACCTGCTGGGCTCCGGCGATCCTTCCGCCTCAGCTCCAAGTAGCCGGAATTACAGGCATGCACTACCACGTCCGGCTGATTTTGTGATTTTATTGTTGAGATGACATCTCGCTGCCCAGGTGGGTCTCGAACCCGCCGGCTCAGGCAATCCACTCACCTCAGCCTCCCAAAGGCGCGGGATTACAGGCTGAGCCACCAAGCCCGGCTGGGGCTTTTTTGATTGTTGGTTTTTTGGGGGTCATAGTCTCACTCTGTCGCTCAGGCTGGCGTACAGTGGCACACTCATGGCCACCGCAGCCTCGACCTGCTGGGCTCAGGTGATCCTTCTGCCTCAGCCTCCCAGGTAGCTGGGACTACCGGTGCATGCCACTAATTTTTTTTTTTTAATTGTAAGATGAGGTCTCGTTGTGTTGCCCAGGCTAGTCTCAAACTCCTGAGCTCAAGCAGTCCTCCCTCCTTAGCCTTCCAAAGTGCTGGGATTACAGGTGTGAGCCACGGCACCTAGCCAGGATTGCGTATTTCTTCTTGTGTAACTATGTGTCTTTTGCCCTATTTAATTTTATTGGAGTTTATTTTTTGCCTATTGGATTTTATTTGCTATATGTTAAAAATCTATTGCCATATATTACAAAAGATTTTTCTTGTGTCATTCACTTTTTTATTTGGTTTGCATTATTTTTATCATAGCTAAAACTTTAATTTTTACGTAGCCAAATTCTTTCATTATTCTCCTTATAGTTTTTGTTTTGGCACTATTCTTAGAAAGAACTTTTTAGCTTTTTTTTCTTTTTTTGAGTCAAAATCTCACTCTGCCACCAAGGCTCATGGTCACCGCAGCCTTGACCTGCTGGGCTCAGGCGATCCTTCCACCTCAGTCTTCCAAGCAACTGGAGCCACAGGCATGCACCACTATGCCTGGCTAATTTTTTGATGTAGAGATGAGATCTCACCAAGTTGCCCAGCCTGGTCTCCAACCCATGGGCTCAGGCAATCCTCTCACCTCCACCTCCCAAAGTGCTGGGATTACAGACTTGAGCCACTGCTCCCGGTCATATAATTCCACTTCTATGCAATACCTGGAATTGTCAAATTCATAGAGATAGAAAGTTCCAGGGATGAGGATGGGTAGAACAAGGAGTTATTTAATGATTATGGAGTTTCAATCTAGGAAGATGAAAAAGTTCTGGAGTAGGCCATGCTCGGTGGCTCAGCCTGTGATCCCAGCACTTTGGGAGGCTGGAGTGAATGGATTGCCTGAGTCCACGGGTTCAAGACCAGCCTGGGCAACTTGGCGAGACCTTGTCTCTACAATAAATCAAAAATTAGCTGGGTGTGGTCGCATGCCTGTAGTTCCGGCTCCTTGGAAGGCTGAGACGGAAGGATCACCGGAGTCCAGCAGTTTGACACCAGGGTGGCCGTGAATGTGCCACAGTTCTCCAGCCTGGGCGACAGGGTGAGACTCCAACTCAAAAAAAAAATTCTGGAGTTGTAGAGTGTTGATAACTGCACGAAAATGTGTATGTACTTAATACCATACAATTGTCCACTTAAAAATTATTAAAATAATTTGGCATGGTGGCTCATGGTTGTAATCTCTGAACTTTTGGAGGCTAAGCGGGGAGGATCACTTGAGGCCAGGAGTCTGAGACTAGCCTGGGCCACAAAGCAAGACCCTGTCACTAAAAAACTAATTCATTAATTAAAATATTTTAAAAATTCAAAAAAATGGTTAAAATGTGTTCATGACTTATTTCTTGTGAAAAAAGTTAAAATGGTAAGTTTATGTATATTTTACTGCATTTAAAAATACTTTGCTAGCCGGGCTCGGTGGCTCAGCCTGTAATCCCAGCGCTTTGGGAGGCTGAGGTGAGTGGATTGCCTGAGCCCGCGGGTTCGAGAACCGCCTGGGCAGCGAGACCTCATCTCTACAATAAATCAAAAAATCAGCCGGGCGTGGTAGCGCAAGCCTGTAATTCCAGCTACTCGGAAGACTGAGGCGGAAGGATCGCCGGAGCCCAGCAGGTCGAGGCTGCGGTGGCCGGGAGCGGCCACTGCACTCCAGTCTGGGCGACAGAGTGAGACTCAGACAAAAAAAAAAAAAAAAACTTTGCTTATATTTTTCTCTTAATACTTTATAATTACCTTGTGTGTGGCTTTTTTTGTTTTGTTTTGTTTTTTGAGTCGGAATCTCACTCCGTCACCCAGGCTAGAGTGCAGAGGCACGCTCGCAGCTACTGCAGCCTCGACCTGCTGGGCTCAGGGGATCCTTTCACCTCAGCCTTTCAAGTAGCTGGAACTACAGGCGCGTGCTACCACGCCTGACTAATTTTTCAATTTATTGTAGAGATGAGGTCTCGCCAAGTTGTCCAGGCTGGTCTCGAATCCCTGGGCTCAGGCAATCCTCTCTCCTCAGCCTCCCAAAGTGCTGGGATTATAGGCGTGAGCCACTGTGCCCTGCCACTATTTTTTTTTTAATTATTTTAAAGATGCGGGGTACAATTCAGGGTTAGGTGTACAAACGGTCCGTGTTCAGGTAAAGTTTGGGCCTCACTTTGGTCCCCACTTCACCTGGTTTGAGATCAGGTGCCCTTACTGATGAAGTGTCCCCCACCCCCTCCCCTCCTTCCCTCCTTCCCTCCTCCACCTTGTGTGTTTTTTAGAATCATTCTGGCTGTGGAAAGCATCAACAATTTTTATTCCAGTCCAAGTTCATCCACTTGTGGTGAGAGTGAAACTGAGGTTTCACTGGTGAAAATGAAACCGAGGTTGAGTTAGAACTGAGGGTGGACCCTGAGAGAGTCCGGTATGTTCATCAGGCTCTTATGATGACACAAAGTCTAGTTTTTCTTTTCTTTTCTTTTCTTTCACTCCATCGCCCAGGCTGGAGTACAGTGGCACGCTCCCGGCCACCGCAGCCTCGACCTGCTGGGCTCCGGCGATCCTTCCGCCTCGGCCTTCTGAGTAGCTGGAACTACAGGTGCATGCCACCACGCCCGGCTAATTTTTTTTTTTTTATCGTAGGGATGCAGTCTCGCCAAGTTGCCCAGGCTAGTCTCCAACCCATGGGCTCAGGCAATCCTCTCACCTCGGCCTCCCAAAGTGCTGGGATGACAGGCTTGAGCTGGCTGACTCTAGCTTTTCTTAGACTACCCGTCCCAGTATGATCGCTGTACATCAAACTATCCCAGAACTTGGTTAATGAAGCAAAACCATCTTATAAATCACAGACTCAGTCAGGAATGTGGGCATGGCCCAGGCTGGGTGATCTTGCTTCTCACGGTGTTGGCTGCAGTCACCTCATGGTTCTTAGCAGA